ACACAGTTGAAACCGTAGTAGATGACTTAACTCAACATCTCTGTTTCACGGTAAATATTCTCAGTCAATTTTCAACGGATGGTCTGTGGAGAACTGATTGTCTACTAGCCCACTAGGTTGCCCAACGGACTTGACTGCCCGAACGTCTTGTGAAAAAGCACCTTTCTGTAGATAACTATCACTTTACTCCTACAAAAGGTTCAATGAAAATATTTTTCTTTATCAAACCTTTACACTGGACATGAATTCTATTAAAATACCAGTTTATTTTGCCTGCCTCAGTCAAGGAACTTTCCCAGTGATTAGTAAGCACTTGCAATTTTTCCGAAAAACAGCGATTGACATAACCTAATGCAGGTTGTGACGGATGATTTGAGAGCCATCATTGCTGCAATCGTAGTAGTGTCTCTCGACCCGCATTGTTTATTGCGTTATGTACACATATTAGTTGATGTCATTAAAAATCGCTGTTAACCATAGCATTATATTTGACAGCTAATGAAATAATAAACTCAGCGGTCAGAAATTTTACAAATGCTCATCTGAACAATGTACACCGAAAAATTATCAAACCAGCACACACTCGTTCAGTAACAGAAAATGAAAGATGCGTGTACTAAGAACAGTCAAAGAAACAAGGCTATTTTAAGGGCAATCCACAGTCTGAATTCCAGCCTTTTAAATTTCATTTAAAAGAATCTATTCAGATGTAATATCTACAATAAAAAAGTATATTACTTTTTAGTTAAATTCAATTATTTCTGTAAACTGAGAGAAAATGGCATACACTTAACAGTGTATGAATAAAAAATTAGATTGCATGTTTAATAAACTGTATAATGGTAATAAAATATGTAATAAATACAAGTGGATAACTGCTGTTAAAAGACAGAATTATTGCCCTAAAACTCGCAATCCAGTATTCATCTATCTATTTGAAAAACATAAATGCTGGGAAACTGCGTTTCGAAGCGGTGGGCAGAAAGACCTTAAAGAATGATCACTTACTTTCTCCCTTGAAGACTATGAAGTTTTCTTCTGATAAATATCTGACCACTTTACAGCATACAAATAAACATACATTTTCTTACTCCAATGGAACTGGTAATCACGAATGACAAAAAGTTGTTTGCTTAAATTTTCTTGCTTCATTCTTCAGCATTCCCAGCAATGAAAACACTACTAGAAACAGAGAATCCTCTCTGATTGTAACCATGTTCGAACCGTGATTACTAGCGCTCGTTATAATCGAAATGTTTGAAGTCGCACAAATTGATGCTTTTTATTATCAATATTAAACAAATAACAACCAGTGAAATTCTTTATACAATTTTCTGTATTAAATGTATTCAGCAAGCTGAGTTAAAAATTCGTTGTGATGATTCTCGCGAACTACGCACATGTATAGTAGAAAAATAACCTTCAATCTAATTAGTTTCTACTTCTTAGACTTACTGCAGAACTCGATCTTTACCCAAGAGATATTACAACATTTAGTGAAGTTGAGTTATGTCATTTATTTTAATCTGATTCACAGAGAACAATAAACTGCTACACACAAGTAATTGAGTAATATCATAGTTCGTTTGTAAATTTTCCTGAATTTTCATTTTCTAATTAACTAAGTATAAATTCAAGCATAGCTTGTTGACCGTTTTGTACAGCATGTATTAGGATTATCTTTATACATAAATCACAGACACATAAACTGTGTCACCACTGATGTCAAAAATCTTCATATCAAGTCATCTAGTGTGATGAAAGGTGAAATTTTGAATCTGTTATCCCAAATCTTTTAAGTTCTTTCTCAGAGAAACTGTTAACCACGTTTCAAAGATTACGGTAGCAAATGACATCTTTGAAGTAAGGATCTATTCGCACGACTTCTTCAGAATTGTTTATAAGTATGCGGCAGTGAATACAGAGGAATTTAATTTATAGCGCATACTTAAGAATTTTAAATGATGTTATTCGTATCACGTGACTTAATATATTCATGAATGAATTTACTCATTTCCTTCTGATAGACCTTATTAATTAGTGAAAACATATAAAGGACTTACATTAACATGTCTTAACAGTATCGATGTTGACCCCTCACCATTATTTATGATTTTGTGGACTTTAGGATAAATTTTCAGTAGTTTTAAACGAAAAATGTGTTAACAGTTTTACATAAGATTCTCTTTTTTAAAGAAAAAGATAATTATCCACTCTGCATTTACCGGACCGAGGAAATTCACAGAAAATTTTTATTTTGAACTATATACACCTGGTAAAGGTTAGCTTCAGTGGCTTCACCTAACCAGTTGACCCGAAAACTGCAAACAAGTTAAACTAGAAGTATAATAAACTGATAATTTGTTTTTTAAGTATTAATAACCGTAGAAACAAAAAGTACATTTGAAAGAAAGTGAGCTTTTACTGACCAACTACTTGAAATCTCTTTTTGATTTAAGTTTTCTTCAAATGTCATCTGTTAAGTAGATATTTAATAAAAGTGATAAGTAACACATCTTAATTATAAGCACTAAGAAATGTAAATTTTTTCATTTACCAGAAAAAACCAGACCAAGTGTGTTTATTCATGCTTGAATAGATATGTTCACTTATGTGTATAATTTAATGAAACAAAGTTTTAAATCTCCATAACTCCAGACAATATTCACTCAAAAATAATAGAAAAACACTGAACTGTAATGGTTTTTATTTATTTTTGTAATAATAACAGGAATATCACAATAACAATCAGGGGTTGTTCATTATTTTTTGAAATTTATCTTACGACTGATTAACATTTAATGGAAGAAATATGAAACAATGAAAATAATGCATAGTTGATTTGATCCTTTTCTTGTAATACTTGCTTGGTGCCACAAAATGACTGGAGCTGAAACATGTAGGCCACTGTTTTATGAACTACCAGTTATAAAATATCCTACTCTCCGTAGTGTCTGAAGCCACAGTGTTAAGAGCGCCTACTCCTAAAGAATCTCACGATGGTGCGAAATGTCTCATAATATTTGTGGAATTTTAGATGTTTTTCAGTTCATATTATTTTGCGGTGTAAACTTTTTATGTTTTCTGCTTGATGTAACGCCAACCACTGTATTAATGACCCCCGAACGTTAGTCTCCCACCGTTCAAAAATAAGAAGACGGAAGACGTCGGAGTACACTTATTAACAGAATCAAAAATATACAATCAAACATGCGTATTTATACAATTATACATATAATCGATATTGTCGCTTAAATATTTGAATATTAAATCCAATAGTTCATCGATCGACTGCCCTTGAAATATTTAAGCATTTAATCGATAAGTTCATCAATCCACAATGTGCATGGCTTTCTTCTCGATTGGCTATCCCAACAAAACTAACTTCAAATCACTAACGATTTTGACTCCAAATCATTTGATCTATATATTTTATTGAATAACTTCTAACCTTATGAATGAACTTGGTGCTGAAATAAACAGAATAATATTACCATTTCATCAACTAAATTAATTTTGAATCGAATAGATAGAATGTAGCTAACAGGGGAATCCATGTAGCGCGTTTCGTCCTATTTGGGACTAGTTAGCTGGATGTATCTGCATCTCAGGGTTGATGTTTGCTCAAGGAATTTGAGTTAGTACAATGTACATCCATCAGACGATTCCTAAACAGGATAAAACGCGCGTCTCGGATTCTGATGCTAGTCACATTTTAACTGTCCCTTGTAAACTTGTGTGACCGCAAAACGTTAGGGGATCTATGGATGAAGATTACTGACGAACTATGTGAACTGGTTTTCAAACTTATTACTAAACTCTGAAAGAAAATAAAGTATTTTCTACCAACTCACTTCAGAAGTTAAGTTCTCAGGTTCCCTAAACCAATATCATCTGTTTCATTGGAGACAGCTAGCCTAATGATACTATGAAGACACTTTATATCTTCAGTGGACCACACTGTCCAACATAATAAACGGAAGGATAATTGAAAATAATCGCTAAATCTTCAATATAAAATAAGTATGGTTTTCATCAGTACACTGGTATCTGACAAATATTACTAAAAAGAAACAACCTGCGTAGTGTAATTCAACTTACTGACTTTTGAAGAATTCTTGAGTCTCAATAAATTGTGATAAAATCATTTAGTATGAGTAAAATTTCAACCCTTCAGAAATAAAACCATCTTATTTTATAATTTACATCACTAATTGATTTTAGTTAGACAATTACTGATAACTAAAAAATGGTGAAGAGCTATTTATAACATGGGACCTCTAGACAGTGTTTATCAAGGGATTAAATGCAAGAGCTTCAGCGTTCAAGGTAAGCTTTTTTATCTCAAGCCACTAAGTTGGTATCTGTTAGTCTACACTTCTAACTTCAGTGGTTCATCCTTGATATGACTGAACTATCCTGTTTATGGTTTCGTCTATAAAGTTTTTTTGGGCTTGTTTAGCATTTTGTTCACATAATGCCTTGTAGTGCTTTACTTGGAGTAATAATTATTTATTAGCAAATTACTAAACAGATGATTCATTCTCTAATCAGTTAACAGTAATGTTCACTATGACTCTTCGATAACTGACACTGATACATTTCATTTAACGAATACTCCACTTCAGTGGTTCGATAGCAAATAATTAATGAACTTAAACCTTACTGGTTTGATTAAGTAGTTAGTAAAGAGGTAGTTATTTTAGTATTAACAAGTAATTCGAAAAATGATGTGCATATGTTGACCGAATACGTGAGCGTACATTTTCTGGGACTCTCAAGAAAATAAAATAAAATTTGAATTATTTTACCAAAAACAAGTGCATGGTGACATTTGAACACATTGTAAAAATTAAGTTTAGTGAAAAGTACAACCAAGTTTATGTATATTATACTATTTGTTGTAATGATTTGTATTTTCAGTGTAATAAACAAGTTTTGATGAAAAATACAAATAATAATAATAATAACAAACAAATAAAAGAGTAATGCAATAAGATTGAAACGAATGTACACGTACATCATTTGGTTAGTTTGAAGATATTTTTCGATTAATTATCATTGGATTTGATGATTATGGTGATGCCGAAATAGAAGTGATTAGTGGAGATTGAAATAAATCCTTTGGGTTTACATATGAAGAGTTTTCAGTACTACCACGTATCAAATTAACATTGGTCACCTGTGTATTAATTTGATTAGTTATACTCGGTATTCGTTGTAAATTATTTAAATTCAGAATACAATCAGATGAAAATGGATTGTATATGGATGAGTTTGAGGATCCTTGTAAGTGAGTATAATATTCTGGACCACCCATCAGCTGTTTAAATAAGAATATTGAAGGCCAAGTATTTAGAAAATATCCTGTCATATTTTCATCTACAAATGACTGATTAGATTTCAGAAATGAAGATGGAGACGATGTACTGGAATTTGTAATGAAATGCTTAGTCACATCAAAATTTGCAATCTTGTTTGAATTAACTGACGTATAAGTCTGTGTTTTTTCAAAATCGTCTTCAGGGTGAATACTGAAACCATGTGAAATGCTGTTGTTTTGACTATCAGAATCAAAATGAAGCATTAATTTAGGATATTCCTCATTTAATTCGCTTGAATTTCGCTCAGATTTTTTATGAATTTTACGTTTCTTTGTATTATTCATTGGTTGACTTTTCATCATATTTTCAATCATGAAGTTTGTTTTTGATTTTTCTGCTGGTGTTGAAGAGTCGATTACTGCATATGTCATGACTGACTTGTCTGATGAAGAAGAAAAAGATGATGATGCTTCATTATTTAAATGAATACTGTCACTTGGATTTGTTGTACATGAATAAAACCTATAATTTTTCGAATTGCAACCGTTCACTAGATTATGGTTATTGTTTGCAGTTAAATCATCTACTACAAACGATGCATCATCAATACTTCTATGCTTATTTGTAGCATTAGTGGTAGTATTAGTGGTAGTAGCAGCAGTAGTAGTAATAGGTGATGAAATATTCTGGTTAATATGCATTATTGGAGAACGTTTACGATTTCCACCATTAAACATAGCTTTCACATCTTCCCATGCATAAATAACTTCAATAGGTGGGTTAGGATCGATTAAAAATAAATGACGTCGCCATGCATTGAAATTCGCTGCATCTGGATGACGATACATTGATTTCAATGAAACATCATCATTTGTTTTCGGTGAATGACAATGAAAAATAAATTTATTTGGTGAAAAATAACTCTGTAAAATAAGAAAATAGAAATTTTACATTAAACTCTTCCATAAAATATACTTTAACAAAATATGTGTCATTTTCTTCGGCGAATGATATCGTTTACAGAATAGAATAAACTGAGGAAGTAGTATAAGGCTGGTTTATCTTAGCACACTTTATACAAACGAATTAACATAATAAACAATCATATGTATATATATATATATACATATATATATTATAGATATATATATTATATATATATATATTCTATATATATATATATATATATATATATATATATATTATATAGTAAATTGCAATTCAATGTTCTATATACTTTCGTCCTTTCCTCTCTGATGAATAGGGATTATCGAATCAAGATAAATAAAAATTTTCCTTAGTCTATATTAATTTTCAAATAGTACACCCACAACTGAAATGTTACATTTTATATATGTAGTGCAAACCAATAAGATCAACTCTAAAGAACCAAACATATTTATGACACAGAGTGAAATACTCAGCTCCACTGTTTACTATGTCCGAAGAAACTAAAGATTAAGTTAGTGCAAACAACAAATCTATAACAATGTGGAGTAGTTTTCAAGACTTAAAGACCGAAAGCATACAAAAAGGATGTTTACATATAGAAGAGAATGTAAGGTAAACTAAATCCTAATAAGCGTTCATAAATTCTGAACAACCAGGTCAAAGAAAGATGTTACTACTTAGATGTCATACAATTTTTCCCAGTGATAAATTTGATCAAAGCAAAAGCAAATACTTTGAATTCTTAAACTTACTGAAATTCTGCTTGCATTACTTACTACTTTTAAACATCAATTACGTAATAAGTAACTTATGCAGAATGTCTGTGTCACTGAATCCTAATTCAGTAAGTAATTCCATGATGTTATTTTCTGCATTGGAATTAAAAGTTATGAATTTTCTCAAATGTGAGTTTGGCGTCCCAAACTGGAACAAGGTATTATACATCAACTATTGGTGTTCAGTAGCTATCCGTTAATGATGAAACTTATGAAGCCACATACACACAGGATTGTGTGTGTATGCATAGGATGCATGGGTTACCAACAATCGTTTACATATTACGTAGGTAACAGCATTTTTAATCTCATGTTAAATGACGTATGCAATTTATAAATTATCTTCAAACTCTTTGTAATCGAAAAAGGGATGCAATGAGTTTCATTTAAAATAACTCACTTGACAAATGTAACAACGTATACATTTAGCTCTGGAACTAGTATATTTTGATGGTGAAAAAGCACCTTGACATCCCCACCCACAGTGATGAACTACTTGAAACATAAAATTCTCTGGTAGTTTAGGATGTTGTGGTTCGTCTAAAAATGATTTGATTAATCTTTCAGCTTCTCTATATGTGATTGTACCACAACGCCTTGATGATGCAGGCATTGCTCCAGCTTCTCTTAATGATTCTAATTGACTTGGTGTACACTGAACACATGTTATACCCAATGCAACACGTCTGTTGTGTATTTCATTATACGAATACTGTTTCAACAATGTGGATGAAATTTGAGCCAAACACAAACGTTTAACACCATCTATATTTAAGCAAACCAGTGATTGATCTCTAAGTTTTATGGTAAATAAATTATTACTATGATGATACTGATGACCCATTGGTTGCTCATTTGATGAATAGTTTAAAAATTCTTCACTAATGTGATCTGTTTTCGCATTAACTGTCGAAGGAGTTGATGATTTGTTTAAACAATTCAAATTATCATCAAGTTCACTGGTTTCAATTTTATGCAAATACCTTTCCATTTCACATTGATCTATGTCTGATATACAATTTGGATTACGTAGTTTTCGAAGTTTCTTCACTTCTTTTTTCATAGAATTTTCACAATGATCAGTATAATTCTCTGTACAACTAGCATTGTAATCTGAATTGACTTCTTTATTAGCTGACACCCTGAAACCAGATAAAATATCACTTAGATGAAATTTTAAACCGTATATTGTTAAATCCATGATAGTTCTGCAAATCGTCCTGTATGTAGTCCCTGAGATTTCAAAGAGATAATGACATAAAAAAAAGTTAAATAAAGTTAGTAAATAGATGGAATTAAGATACAATTCAAACCACAGATAGTTGTATATTATTTACAGTTTCAACTTCCTTTCAGCTGACTTGTGTGATTAGAAAAGTAAGTTGAATACAGCAAACCTTTTAGAGTCAGTTTTTGAGGATGATTATATTTAAAGGTGAATATACCAACTGAATACGAATCGGTGCCGAAAAATAACCAATATAATAACTCTATACGTGATAACAAAATTGGTGCAGAAAAATAACCAATATAATATCTCTATACGTGATAACAAAATTGTTTAATCAAATGAAAGGATGACATCACAGTATAAATCTAGTATTTGCGATATTATAGTCAGTAGTAAGTAGTGTTTGACTGAAGTTCATTTTTAGTGGTTAATATATATGGATGATGTATCCACAACAATAGAAGAGCCATGTTATCATTATTACCTTTGATATTCGAAAGTGTTATTCACTTATAGAATTTGAGTTTTTCAATCTTGGATATCTATCGTTAGTCATCTAATTAATATTAATGAAAGGAAAGTGTTGGTGTAGAATAGTAAAATTATCATCTTACTCTAGAGTAGTAGGTTTACCAGTACACAAGTCTAATATCTAGCTAAAACGACTTGAATAAAACTAACCGATACCTGTTTCCTAACTTTCAGTTATCGAAAACTTTTTCACATTTTTGAATTGTTTTTGAATTAATTAATAATGTTTACAAGAGTATTGATTACTTATGAAGTTTATAAATAGCTTACTATCAAATATTTTGCTTAATACTGCGAAGTCCTATCGGAGTCAATAAAGTGTTTGGTTTCATTGCTCCTAGTCTGTCAGACGAAAGAAGAAGGTGGAAGTTCAATGGAATTCATGTTATCTTATAAGATAAGCTCTAAAGTCAAAACTTTTCAAAATAATTTCCAGGTGTTCTATATGTAGACATTAATTACTCTAGTTAAAACATTGTAATTAAAATGTAGGTTAAAAGAAGTTTGTTGCAATATTTCACATTTTGTACTGATATCCAAATTCCAAATCTCAGTAGAAAGTATTGAACAAGATATGCATGTTTACTTACTTGAAACATAAAGTATCAGTGACTGTGTTTATAAGAAACATGAAGTTTTGAGTCACCTATAAGCAACTTAAATTTTCCAAAAAACAAGTTTTACTTGAGTGAGAATTTCACCTTCTGATAACTTGCTCTCTATCCTTTACGTTTCAAATAATAAGTGAACTGCATTAGCGTAAATTAAAAAGTGTAGGCAATTTATAAGTCAATAAACCAGTGAGTTAAAGTTGTACTAAGCTTTACATAGAGTTATTAAGGAAAATAATATTACTTGTCGTAATTCCAGTTGAGAAAAATCTTTACATATTTGGGCAGAAAAATGATGAGCAAGGTGACAATCAACCAACAGCAAAGTCAGAAGTTTCAATAGAAATGTCAAGACAGTTCTACTGTATGGAGAGGAAACTTGGAGAACTACCGAAACCATCATCCAGAGGATACGAGTATTTATTAACAGTTGTCTACGCTAAGTACTTTGGATTCGTTGACCAGATATCATCAACAACAATATACTGTGGGAGAGAACAAACGAGATTCCATTGGAGGAGGAAATCAGGAAGAGGCGCTGGATGTGGAGGAGACGTTCGTTGCGGAAAGAACCGAACTGCGTCACAACACAAGCTCTCACTTGAAACCCTCAATGTCGAAGGAAGGGAGGAAGGCCAAGAAACACATTACGGTGAGTAGTGGAGACAGATATGAGAAGAATGAACAAAAATTGGACAGAATTGGAATGGGAAGTCCCTGACTGAGTAGGATGGAGAATGCTTATTGGCGATCTATGCTCACTTGGGTTAACAGGAGTAAATAATTAATTGCAGTGATTTATCTAACGATCATGATGTTAAAAAGAATTCATTTAACAAACTTGATGCATGAAAGAGTTACTTTAAAAAATTTCTCTTATTTCCAATGCATAATTTTCAAATATCAATGGCTTTTTATTCTGTGTCCCATTTACGGTCACCGTAACTTTTATGCATCATCAACTGCCTCCCATTATGAATATATTTAAGTAACGCAACAACAATGAATATTACTCAATCACCTGTAATTAGAATGATGATCATTAATAATAAACAACTCTCTAGCTCATTTACTGAAAACTGAATAATTAAATTTCCAAACAATATTACAGCATTCATCCTATTCGGTTCACACAATTTATCACGATTACGCTGTTAAACTTTAAGTAAAAGTAATTCGTATGTTTGTGAACATCAAGTCCAATCAAAAACAGTTGATTATTTAAAAAACGTTAAAAATCTGACTGCAACACTAATGTATTCAGTTCAAAAATCATCAAATAAGAGGAGTGGATCGTAGATATTTTTCCCAAGAATTAAACCGACCGTTTGCATTTTGTAATGACTCTGCTTTTTTCAATTGAAAGTACGCATGTGAAGTCGAACAAGTTTCACGATGCAGCTATTTTAAGTACTCAGGATCATTATATTTTGTTTATCAGTCGACTAGTATTTTATCAATAATAAAATCTGGTTATTATGAAAGTGTAAAATAAGTTCAGAGTTATATACAAAGTTATGTCAATAACATAATCAAAATTAACCCTAGTTCGTGACAGAAATTTCCAAAAACACTGAAGTTAGAATATTAGCCGCCACTTTCTTTACAACTTTGAAGATTTAAAAGGTATTAGGAATTCAATATGTAATGCTTCCTTAACTGATATCTGATCATGATGTAAACTACGAAATATTCGAAAATCTTAAAACCATCTTACTTGTCATCAGTCAAACACTGACTTTACGAAACGTAGGTGTACTTAATTTATTCATTAAAATATCAAATAAAGCTTACAGTTATAATCTGAATCGATACTGTAGTCACACAACCTAACTGAAATCTGTCATAGAAACAGATGACGAATGATGGAAAATCGGCTTGTAAGTTAAGTCTGGCCATACTCTGTGGTATGTTATACTAAGAATATTTTGTATGTCAATGACAATTACTTTCCGTTAAATAATACAACAACAACTTTCTGGCCTAATATGTGATTAACGTTTAGTTGGCAAAAGCATAATGTGTATTAATCATCGGAATGAAACCTGAAATTGCGACATTTATCACTACGGCAGATCACATTATTTCATGTTAAAAATCAATCAATGCACTATTCACTCAAAATCAACTTCTGTAAATGTAGTGTAAAAAGGCGTAATCAGTTAGAGATTAAGTTTAAAAATTCACTAATCACTTTAATTCTGATTTTTAATCATGTTCAGTCTAATGTTATAGTCAATCAATTTAAAATCAGCTTATTTCAACAGCCTTTCATAAATTATATTAATGAGTTATAATAGTTGATCGTTAAGGCGTAAAACAAATTTTCACACCATTTGTTTAACATTATGCTTGCTCAAAAGCGTCAGTAAAATTGTTAACATAATGAGATGTTCTTGTATTCTCTGAGCCAAATGGTTGAATGGAGAAGCTTTTATTGTTAGAATGTCTCTTGAACCATTTCATTCAGAGTGAATCATAAGCAGTGAACAGTTTAGGAAAAGTCTAGTCAATCAATTAGTACGCACCTGGTGAATTATTCATATGGTGACAGATTAACCGAACAAGACAATTATCAGAAAAGTAAGAACAATCGAATTCAACAAAATTTACGAAAACAGTCAGTCACAAAAAAGAGCACCAGAAAAAATTTATTTAATACTTGCAGGATGAGCAAAACACTCCGTCCTAAATAGAATAGGCGCTTTTTGAGTAATCCACCTAGCCAAAGAGGATATAAAAAACAACTAAAAACACTCATCTGAGCTGTAAATCTGTACTATTATTTCAAAGTTCAATTAATCTTTCGTAACCATTTATTTCCAACTTACAATTAATACTGCCCTTAAAGAATATTACTGAACCAAAGCACTTAAGACAGATTACCGTCGACTGAATTTTACCTATACAAGATGCACGATCACATGTTAATGTCATGTAACTGGTTAGTGACGACAAAATTTAAGAAAATATACTTCAGTCAAGACAAGTTGAACAAATTGGTTTCCCTTATTTTTGTATTCCTTCCCTATGAGTGACTAAGGCGAGTGTCAGAAGTATTTCTTAAACAATCATGGGCTTTACTTCCCTATCAGCTTTATTTCAATAATGGAATGTGTCATCATTCGTCGGATTATAACGACTTATTAACAAATATCAGTAAACTTAGGGAAAATACCAGCCAAGATTAGGAAAGGCTATTAAAGTATGTAAATAATTTGAATAACTGACACGGTAATTCGCAAAATTATAACGATTCGAAGTCATATCAAGCGTAATTTAAGATGTAAATTTTGAAGTAAAATCCATCATTACACTTTTAACCATCAGGCAAAAATTCTTGACGATTTCATGAAGATCTTTTGAAATCGGGCAATAACCATAACAGAGGCAGAATAATACGAACTACTTTCATTTCTTGGTTTCCCTTTAACCTCTTACAAGTGAAATTCAACTTAGAAACTTCAAATATTGTTGCGAGCAACTGAAAACGAAAGCATAGATTGAAAGAAACTCATGTTATTCTGCATCAATTCTTCGTATTAGTTTATTTCAAAATTTTGAATAGACATGAAAACCTAGAAAACTGTTATTATCTGATTTAAATTACTTTGATAATATATGAGTCTACAAAAACTTTCAGCCTTAAAAGCACTTACTAAACTAGCGAAGTTACTTAATATTTATAAATGCTGATTAGTTGGCACTCACGTATACTTTACAGCCTCTTTCTGATAAGCCTGTGTTTCATTTTAAATACAAACTTCCGATAACTTACCTTGTAGCTGTAAAACTTCTGTCGAATATGAAAATGACAAGAATCCGTAC